ATCAATCAATCAATCAATCAATCAATCAATCAATCGATTGAAATGATATTTCCGATTGATTGATTGATTGTTAGTTTATGTTTTATTTTCTTTTTCATTGAAGAAAGAGAGAGAGAGAGAGAGAGCATTTCGTGTTTCACCTGTGTCGCCGACAGAAGCAAGAGTAATGCAGGCGGAGCTCAGCTACGTTCGGATGATACACACACACACACACACATGCAGCTGCAATAAGTAGTGAGATCAGACAGATAGACCCGGCCAGCGTATGGAGAAAAGTTCAGATGGGAGTGAAAGAGGGTGTGTCCTGACTGATGGTCTTCATTGCACAAGCGCTACACAGGTGTCAAGCTGCAAAAGTTGGGTGGCAGGGAGGCAGGCAGAGCAGGTGCAGTTCTGAGCCACTGGTGATGGGTGTGCGGAATAACCAAGGTGGGTGTTTTATCATGATGTTCTCATCAGTCAGTTGCTTCCAGAAGCATGGAGAACTCCTGATATCCCACCGTATTTGTGTATTTGCTGAAGTGCCTCAATGTAATTGTGTGTGTGTGTGTGTGTGTGTGTGTGGCCGTCAGACATCCTTGTTTGTGGGAGGGAGAAAGAGAAGGCGGTGTTGTTTTGTAAGGAGAGGCGTAGGGGCTCCACATGCCATCTAAAGTTGATCTTTCGCATCAGCAGGCTTCTGGGAGATGTCGTATTTTGCTTCTGGCGGACATGGGCCACTGGCGTTCGTCTCCATTTTGCTGGACGGATGGATTCATCTCATCTCCAATCTCTCTCTTGGCTCACTGGGAGAGGCTTTGCTTATGTGACCTGTGTCTACTTGCCAACTTTTGCGAATGAATGTAGACAATCGTATGGTCGGATACTTCAGGTAAGTCCCATTGTGAGTACACAGAATCTTCAAGTAAATCCGCTAGATAGAATCAGCAAGCAAGGATCCTTTTTAAGTTCCTCTCCCCCCCCCCCCCCCCCCCAACCCCACCCCTACCCAAAACCCGAGTAGTCCCGTTGTTAGGTATTCTCACTGGGTAGAATGATAAACAAGGATCCTTTTTTTTTTTTTTTCCTTCTTCTTTCGTGAATCTCGCGAAATAAATAGTGAATCCGTCGATATGTCATATCACTTTATATTATTGTTTGCAGTGCTACCTGTCCTGAACATTGTCATTCTAAATATCGTTGGCTGGCTGCCGTGCTGCCGCACTTGTCACGAGTGGTGTGGCTTTATATCTGTGTTTGTTGACAACATACCACTCTTTTTTCCATGACCTTTTTTTTTTTTTTTTTTTTTTTTTTTTTGACTTCTTTCCATGATTGATTTAACCTCACTGGTGTTTTTTTTTTTGTAATCTTCTGTGATTGATACCCAAAAAGAAAAAAAAAAAGACTTGCGATTTTGGGCACACTGGGGAGTCATGCATGGTCCCTGTACTGAAACCGGGTGATTGAATCATCCATGCCTGCCACTGCCATCAGGTAAAATCGACGGGAGAAAATCGATAATGGACGCGTCTCCTTGTTTCCAGGTGTGTAGCTGTGGTAGGTATTTACTATTTTTCCTTAGATGGAAGTGGCACTGAGGGGTCTCTCCCCCCCCATGCCCGTGGACGACGACACACACGTTCCTCTGTCCCACCCCTCACCCTTTATCCCCCTCCCCACCCCAAACCTCCCATCCCTCCCTCCTTAACCTGACTGCCACCTGCCCAAACAGATGGAAATGTGGTCCCAAACATGTCCCCCCGGGGCCTGCGGGCCCCTGGGAATGCTATCGTGTTCATGTACAGATGAACCACCAACTCAGAGCCAGGTCCCATCTGCCAAAATTCTCCGTTCCTGACCATTGATCTCTGCAGTCCATGGTCAGTGATGAATGGATACCGGTAAGTGGTGCTTGGCCTCATCGGGAGTGTGTCGGTTCGCTCTCCGTATCGTGTTCGGTTCCAGAACACGGGTGCGTTCGAAGTCTTTGGGCGGAGGCGGCGATGTTAGACGAAAACTTTTCTTAAGTTTCCTTCCTTCCTTCCTTCCTTCCTTCTTTCCTTGTGGGAATTATTGTTGCCTTGTTGCCAATACGGTGTGCTGGAAGTCGAAGTCTTTGGGCGGAGGAAGCGATGTTAGACTGAAATCTGAAATCTGAAATCTTCCTTCCTTGCTTCCTCCCTTGCTGGAATTATTGTTGGCGTGTCGTGCACCCTCGTGGCCGAGAAGTGGCCGAGGCACTGGAGGCAGAGACGAAAAGGGCAGAAGGACAAGAAGCAGGAGGCTGTGACAGACTCCGTTTGGTTGGACCTTCACCGGCTCATCAGGAGGCGGCTGAACCCTCAACTGTCTGCAGAAAGCCTTGACCCCTGTTTCACTTGGGCACCAACCGTTGTCCCATAACTGATAAACTAAAAGGTGGTTACCAACCGCTGCCCTCTCAAAAGTGATCTGTCAAGAGGGATGCCAGGCCCGCTTCCCGGATTTAATTGAACGTTGTTTTAAAAAAAAAAAAAAAAAAAAAAACACTGTCAGCCAAATGCAGTTGTGACGTCAAGGTATCTTTTTCGCTGCGGCAGAATCTCCAAGCTTTTTGGTGCAACCCGTCAGCCTCCCTTGCATGTGTCCTCTGGGGCGAGGTCCCATTAGCAGTCGGATAGGAGTGTGACCGATCCAGTGTGACACTGAGTGGCAGCGGCCTGACAGGTTCATTACGAATTTCTGGGCTGAGAAAACAGGAAAAAGGCGAAAAAAAGAAAAAAGAAACAGAGACCTCCCACCCGAAATCACGGCAGAGTGCTTTCCAGCCATCAGATCAGAAATGATCTGATGGTGGTGGTTGCAACAACAGTGAACAAAGAAACTGCCACATTTTCTGGAATAAACTCGACCTCTGTCAGCAGTGATCCTGACACCGTCCATATTATATACGCCGTGATTGAAGGAGGGCTCCACCCAATGAGATAATTGCACAACAGCAAGTAAAATGCTGAAAATCTTCTATCCAGTAGGCTGAGGCCGACCCCAACCTTGTTTGGGGCGGGCCACACCCCCAACCGATTGAAAAGATTCTGGCGGGAAGCTTTCTTTGCACGGCCATGCCCAGTGTTAAGGAGAGGAGGGGAACCAAGATCTCCTCACTTTTTTGGGTTATACATGTAAAGTACTGACTGCGGGATCACGAGTACTGCATGGCAGGATTTGGGTCACTCAACTGCCCCACAAACTTGTTTCTATCCTATCCCGTTGCTAGTGGGACCTCGCCCCTGGTTGGATTAACGGAGGTCGACGATATGGAAAGAGAACAAAAAAAGAAAAGGGTTTCAGGAAAAGTACTTGCTTATCTTCCTCGGGGGAAAGCTTTTTTTTTTTTTTTTTTTTTTTTTTTTTTGTCTCTTGGGGAAAAAAAAGGTTGGGGAGGAGGGTTTTTTTTTCTTTTTTTTTTTTTTTTTTTTGGAAGTGGGGAAAGCTTTTGAAGAAAGGACAGTTTTCTTTTTTTTTCCTTGTTATTTGTTTTTTTTAAAGAAATTACTCAACGAATTCAAGCTTGGCACCCATGAGCCGCATTGAGCAGAGTCTGCTGATGCTCGTAGGGGGAGGGGAGGCACAGCCTCTGGCCAATCGAAGTCAGCTCGGTTCTGATGCTACCAGCTGAACCCTGGCCGGTATTGCCCACCTGCTGGTGGGTGCAGCTACCGCATGTTCCCTGGAAGGCCGTCCTGTCCAGATTTGACAGGTCATTGAATTGGTCGGGCTTAAAAGAATTGAAAGAATTAGCCCTTAAAAAAAAAACAGCTGAGCTAGGCTCGCTGGTTGAATAGCAACAGTGGTTAACTCATTGGCTTTTGGGAAAGTTTGACGAGGAACAACGACCAGTCCCTCCGAGCCTCCCTTTGCCCATGTGCTTTGCTGCCCTGCCATTTCCTGCCCTAAGAAAACAGAAACGTTGTGATTTATTTTGTCAGGCGCCGCTTTCAGCGGTAGGGCCTGCTAACTTCCCTCTGGAATGTTGGAAGAAAAAAAAGAAAAAGAAAAAAAAGAAAAAGAAAAAAAAGAAAAACAAAAAAAAGAAAAAGAAAAAAAAGGAATAAGCACCTGTCTCTCCTAGCCTCTCGTTTCCCACACGCTTTGCCGAAGCGTCGTGAGTGCCATCTTGCCAGTCAACGGCCTTTTCGCCTCCAATAAGTCGTGGACCAGATTTGCGCCGTGTGTAAACCTGTGCGCGCAAACAAGTTTGGTGGGAAAGCGACTGGTGGTTTGAAGTGAAGATCAGGTCTGTTACTGTTATGATGGTAGGTGGTTGTAGGAGAGACCCTTGAGTCAGTTGGAATCCTGAATGGTACACAAGACAACACATGTAGCTGCTGCTGATCTTTTTTTTTTTTTTTTAACAAAAAAAACAAGCTCTGCTGATGATCATGTCATTGTTATTATTTTTTTCTTTCTAAGGGTCTTGCTAGACACTCCAAAAAATGCCAGTTCTTAGGAATGCAGTGTTGTTACACGCATTCCTAAAAACTACTTCCTGAATAAAGAAGTGAAAACAGCGTGAGGACTAGTCCTAAAAAAATTAACAATCCCCAGCCAAAAGTACCCAAAAAAATAAAGCTCCTCGCGAGGAGCTTCAGAATTCGGAGGAACAATGTGTCCGTGTGTGGAGAGGGCATCCTACTTGGAGCCAAGTGTGCGGTGATTGCCAGAGTTTGTGTGGCGTCGTGTGTGGTGTGCGTCGAGTGTGGACACTTGCAGGGTTGGGGCGGATATCATGGCCGGTATGGTTCCGCTTTTGAACACCGTGTCCTGGCTGTAGTGGTTATGATACTTGGCTCTTGAGGCCGAGGTCGCCGGTTCGGATTCGTGCATGCACGAAGGAGGGCTGAGCCCCAAAGGTACTGATCCAATGACATCCTCCGAAGTTGAACCGTGGTGGCACCCTATTGGCTGAGGCACGTTTTTTTTTTTTTTTTTTTTTTTTTTTTTTAAATGATACCATTCTTTTAGGACTTGTCCTAAACAATGTTTTTTTAGGACTGCGTGTAACCGTGACGTCACAATTCCTCAAATTCTTTTAGGACTGGTCCTAAATCTCTTATTAGGATTCCTTTAGGAGTGTCTAAGAGCACCCAAGTACACAAATGTAGCTGTCGATGTCACTTGATGAACAAACAGAACCAACAGGTCAGGCGTTGAGACCCTGAATGGCTCGTAGATGTACACTTCAGCTTTGGAATCGTACACACATGGGGCTGTTGTCAAACAGGTCATGAGTTCAAATCCTGTCCTGTACCCGTCTCTAGCTGTAGAGCAATCTCTAGGAATAGGGCTGGGCCACTGGAAAAGGGTGAGCTCTAGAATGGGAAGGGTGACATTTGCAGCTCTATGGGAAAAGCGGGAGCTCCATCCCAGGAAGAGTAAAAAGGCCACAGCCCCGGATACGGAGGTGAACCAATAAACTGTTTGATAATCTTATATCTAAGGGGTGCTGGACCTGGTTTCCAGCAGGTGCAGCTCCCCACCAATAGATGGAGCAGCCTGATGGCCAAACGCTCAACCCTGGTGGTTCTCTCACCACACCGGGGATGGAGGGCTTGCAAATGGGCTTTCACCCCCCCAAAAAAAGGAACAAAATAAATAAAAAATAAAGAAAAGAGATAAACAGGTCATAAAATCCAATCCGGAACGGCATGAAGATGTAGCTGCTGTTAAGTACTTGAATATGTTCTCCGTAACGACTGCGATTGATGATCACGTCATCTCTAAACTCGAGGGCTTGCGAAGCACTACTGCGGCAGTGGTAGTGGTGCTGCTTGCAGCAGTGGGAGCGCTACTAGTGGCGGTGGAACACTATGCCTGTTCTATGCGGAGTCCGGGCAAGATGTGACAATGGGCGGGCACCTGCCAGGTCCATACATACATATCTGCCTGCCGCTCTATTCTATCTGCTGCTGAATGGCTGATCGCGTGGTACGAAGATAAGGGACATCACGAGGTGTTTGTTAAGAAACGGAGCAAAGACGTCCAGCTTGGACATGGTCGGGCTACACCGGAACGATGGACGAGATTTTCCTTTGATAAGATATTGGAGCTGGTTAGATACGATCTGCAGAACACATTTACTATGTGTATGG